GTAGTATAGAAAGGGGGCTCTAACTCAGGATCCGATCGTGCACAAAACAAACTTTTTCTAATAATTACACCGGCAAGATACATACTCATCACCGTCGGTCTTTTTCAACGATTATTTTCAATCACGGGCCATATCCTTTCGTTCCTGATCGATCCACCGAAATATAAAAGGAATATTTTTTCTTTCTACTGAGCACACTTCAAATCTCGAGTATGGTTTATAAAAGACAGAACGTACTCGTAATGGAGTCTAAATCACAAAACGGCTGTCGTGTTTTGCTGAAACACGGAAATCTGATGCGGTTACTAGATTTAGAACGTCAAATTATACGGAGAGTTGACAATATTCCGATTCCGATTTCTATGAATCCTATATCGAGTAACGTAAGTTAAATATTATATCTTATTATTTGTATATTATATTATTATAAAAAAATATTTTAGGTTAACCCATCGCGAGAAACATCGTCTAGCTACCAAACCTATTCACCGCTGTCTCCACCAAGTTATACGCCTGCGTCTCCGAGCTACTCCACACCACACGTAAAGGATGAAAGGGGAGTTGATCATGACGATGGACCTTTCGGACCAAAATATATCAATCCATCGAACGAAGAAGAAGATTAAAATATATCACATTATTTACAATACTTGAAATAATAAAAACAATAATAATCTATTCTATAAAATATCTTTTACGTATTTAGTTGTCGAAATAAAAACATAATTTATTTACTTTTTAAAAAAAACTAGTTTTATTTATGCAAGGTAATAGAGGGTGGAAATGCTATATCTGCTTCGAATTCAATCCCAAGATCCACAGTCGATGTTTTTAAGTTGTCATTCTGCCGACTCATATCGATAACAATGATTGGAGCATGTCTTGAACTCCGATCGGGTTAATAGCGGCGTGACGATGTCACGACCGTAGTAAGATTTCTGGAACTCTGCATACGCTAGGTATACCGTAGCTATTTTATTCTTAGTGAAATCACTTTGAAAATCTTCGTAGGGGAATATTATTTAACTGTTTATAATGACCGATATTTCACTTGTCAAAAGAAATCCTTCTGGAAAAGTAAATATTTATAATAAATAATATCATACTAACATTTTTTTGTTCTATGCTAAATGCCCAATATATTGCTAATTCTTCGTATTTTTTTTTTAAGTTCGTTGGTACACGACAAAAAAAAATCGTTGTCAATTTCTACAAAAATTTAATGTTGGAGCAAGAGAACATAGAAGCTAGTCAAAAAATGAAATATAAGGACATCGTCAAAACAATTTCAAAGACGAGTGGTCTTGGACAAAAAACAGTGGAGCGTACGCTAGCAGAATACAAAACTAAAGGTACAGTTTCATTGCCAAATAAAAAAAAAAAATAGGAAGACAGTGATAGACAAAACCGACGATTTTGACCAAAACGCCATTAGGCTGAAAGTCCATAGTTTTCGGTTTAATCGAGAAATACCTACTTTGAATAAAATGTTAGTGGTTGTAAATGATGATAAGAATTTGCCAAATTTTTCGAAGACGTCCTTACGCATGATTTTAAAACATCTAAATTTTGAATATTTGAAAAAAAAAAATCGTAATAGTGCACTTATTGAACGAAACAATATCGTGTGTTGGCGTCGTAAATATTTACAATCTATAAAACATTATAGGCTAAGTGGTAGACCAATATACCTTGACGAAACCTGGGTCAATGCAGGTGAAACAAACTCAAAGGCATAAAAGGCACAAAAAAATATTCATTTCCAACCATGTCTTGGACAAAACAAAAAATTATAGATTGGTTAGAAAAAGAAGGTGAAATAATTCAGCCATCGTTGGTTAAATCTGAGCTTTTAGAACTAGCCATTAAGTTTAAACCGCTGCACGACAAGTATGTGATAGACGAAGTATCAAAATAAAAAAATAAAATAGTTCTATGGTTGCCTCCCTACCACTGTGAGCTGAACCATATAAAGCTTGCTTGGACCTGGATAAAACATTATGTACATATGAACAATAAGACATTTAAACTACAAGATATGCATAACTTATTAAAAGATGATGTGGAACAAGTAACTAGCGAAATGTGGACAAATTTTGTTGGCCACGTAATAAAAGAAGAGGACAAATTCTGGATAGTTGATCATCTGTCTAACGAAATTTTGGACGCCGAAACAGGAGAGCACACATTAACAATTACAGGCGACACTACTTCAGATTCCGACGACGACGAAAACATTTAAATTATTAATTTATGTATATTTTCTAATTTAAATGTGACAAAATATAATATAATACTTTTATTTTATAGTATTTAGATTTAATAATAAAAATAAATTATACTTATTTAATAAAAAAACTCCTCTACTGATATTATGGTATACTATANCTCGTGGCACGGAGTATAGTTAATAAATAGTTATAATATAAAGATTATTATTGTGATAACGTTATCAAAAACTCGTGTATGAACTTATGAACCAATACGAAAAAATAATATCAGGTGATCCTGATCACTTCGGTTCAGCGATCTGAATCATATCGTTCACTACTTTGACCCGTTCAAATGATCCGGTTCGTTCGTGAACGACACATCTCTACCTTGGTCAATACTTTTACGGTGCCGGTTAAAATGCATTATTGCTGTTATCAAATCAATAATAACGTGTTTGTGGTGGCGGCCACAAAATATTGGTGGTTCTTCCTATTTTGTTATTCAGAGAACTGAAACTGAGCCACTAACTATGAATGAGATTCCTACTGGTAACCCTCCTGCAATGAGACAAAAACAATTTTTATTTCAAATAGGTAAACAATATGTATTATAATAAGGTTAATAATTTGAATATAACTTTTAAAATTTACTTTCGAGATATGAAATACATAGTTAATTTAATAGAATTACAGATAAATCTTTTTAAATAGTATATTATATTAATTTAGTATTTTTTTAGTTTACAGTTTCTATATCCAACTGGTTTGGAAACATTTAAATTGCCCACTGGATGGGTACCAACACTACCAACAACATCTGGAACATTTACAGTAAAGTAATTGCGATTTTTACTGAGAGTGGCGCTAATATTATTATTAATTTAGTACTCGTGCAAGTGCGAAATTTCACTGAAATACGACCGATATAAGGATAAGGACCTAATCAGCGGCCGATGTGAATCGCTATACCGTATTTTTTTCTCTTCAAACACAGTATTATAAACACACAAATTGCATAAATTATAGTATTACTGTTGTAGAAATGTACTTGTATAATAATAATAATAATAATAATAATAAAACAAATGGTCGATACGGCCCGCGAGTAAGCATCTATAGCTGTTGTAGGTGGGTAGTTGGGAAGGTAAGATATATACGGGGTAATTTAGTTTATAATATATACTGTGTATGCAACAATAAATCATTGCACATTATGGTTTTATCAAAATATGTTTGTTTTTTTTTGCCACGAAAAACGCTTTTTTCGAAATGCGAAAATATTCCGATTTTTTTACGCGGTACATTGAAAAAAATGCGAAATTTCCATCCCGCGGGGATTTTATTTGAACTTTTTCCTAGATTCCCGACAGTTTTTCTAAAAAAAAAAAAACTGACAATAAATGACGACATGCATGGCTATTTTTTTTTTCTGTGTATCATTTTAGTCACAAAAACAAAAAAAAACACTATTAATACTGTAGTAAGCGTGACAATTCACCGAAATCCATTCGGATACGGTTTTTTTATCGTCCGATATACCTTCCCAACTTCCCGCGTACGACATCGGTCTGACCGCGGTACGAAAAATGTCCGCGGCCTTTTTAGATATTTTAATTTATCGATCGAATACCGATTAACGCGTATAATGAGTTAAAAACACGCCGCTCATGATTTTCGATTTAGTTAAATTATATTACGTATCGATTGAAAACTCATTCGGACCGTTACTTCGCATAAATTATTAAACAATTTACTCGTATTATGAATTATCAAATAAATCGTATAGGTTTTTTTTTTAAATTTGTTTAGATTACGAGTGAAGGGAAGAATGTATTGGTTTTACAAAGATGTTTATTTTTTTTTTTTTTATGTGAACACTTTTTTTACCAGAAAGCTTAGTCCGATGTATAGGATGTAGACCCTTTATTGACTAGAAATTTTCTTAGTGAGGTGATTTTTCGATATTCTCAGGAGTTTTCTTATCAAATGTGAAAAACCGAAGAAAAAAAACGATGAAATACATTTGTAAAATATTGCGATTTTTTTTTTGTGTACAAATTTTCTACCAGCATTTTTTGATCTGATTTACAATGATAGCATTTTTTCTGAAAGGAAATCTGACTAGAAAGGTACTTTATGGAGGTCGTATTTCAATTTTCCCATGAGTTTTTTAGCAAATGTAAAAATCTGAGAAAATATGGGAAAACCGTGAAAATCAGTACAATATTAAACAAATATTATTAAAGCAAATATATAATGCCTATTTTGACAAAGCATCACAATCAACTGAACTCCGCTCAAAATCGTTTTTAGTAAGCAATGGTTTATCTTCACTTACAGATACAAAATAATTTCCCATCTATATCCTACTTTCCCAACTTCTCACGGATAACATTGGCTGCAACAGTCCACATTATCCTAAGAGAGCATTTTTTTTTTTTATTTGTTCCTTCGTTAATATTATAATATTATTGATAAAACGAAATCGTAAATTATTTATGTTGATCATTTAGTTTTGCCGAAAATATAAAATTATAATTATTTATACCGGACGTATTATCAAATTGGACAACGGCAAATCAAAATTCCGTACGAGAACAAAACATTTTAAAATGTTCAAAAAATCCGAACTGAAGGTGAAAAATAAAAAAAATAAAAAACGGGTAACCATACGGATCGATAACAGTGACGACGGAAATCGATCTTCGGGGTAGTGTCGTAGCAACAGCGTCAAACGCGCGATAATAAGCGCACACGTAACCCGGTATTGCACAAGAAACACGACGCGAAGAATACGTCGACGTGTGTATTTAATAAGTTAGAATAACAACATAATATTATTTTTTAAATTTTTTTCCGTAAAAAACCGACTACATTTTGTCACGGCCGAGATTCGGATTGTTTAGCAATACAGAGTAAAAAAACAAGAACAAATCTAACCCGAGTGCAAATATACGAATGTAAAACGACGCAACGCTTTTGGCCGTACGGTTTTCGTAACGAATTACGACGCGATAGAGCGAAAACCGATGTTAGTAAAACGTCATTAACTGCAGTGATATTTCCCCCCCCCCTACGGCGGTTCCGAATTATTTTCCGCGCGATTTCTCGTATTTATATTACCCACAACCTCCTCCCCTTCCCCTCCGCCGCACAACTCGCTGTATTATGATGGCGGCGGTTATCGAATTGAGCGCGGCCTTTGAAAAAAAAAACACAAACACACAGAATTCCCATGCGGCGCTCTCGCGATATTTTATTGTAATTTTTCGTACGCGCGTTTTTCCGTCGACGCGACGACATCGTTGACCGTCAAAAGGTAAATCAGCGGCGGACGAGGAGAAGGAGGGGTGAAAACATAATTTACGCGCGTTCATAACGAACCTTTGTACAAAAACGCCGCGACGAGTCACGTACGCGCTTGTATCATACCTAATGTGTACAAAAAAAAAAGGATTTGTAATTTTTTTTCAATCAATTTTCTTTTTTTTTTTTTATCGTAAAAATTATTACCTGTTCGGGGACCTTTTGCGCGTCACCAATCGATCCGAGCGTTTACCACGGTTCGCGTAACGTCGTGCAGACGATAGCGGCGGAACCGGCCCGTGGACGACGTTTACCATTGGTAAAAAAAAAAAAAATCGAAAAAAGTCTACAAGCTTTCGTATCGTTCTCGCGGGCGATAAGGTTTAGGGCGAGAATCCCGGAGGACACCCGAACAGCGTAATGTAACGGGTAGTTTCCGAAACATTTATGTCTGTAAACCGTTTGCGAACGAAAAACGATTCCGAGAGACTTTCGGTTAAGTAACGGCGCGTCGATCGAACACTCGAACGTTTTATCAGCAAACCGTATTGCGAAAAATAAATATTCTGGTTGATCGTATTTTAACGAATTATGGTAAAAACGAGTTTAATTTTTATGTGCATAAAAAAAAAAATCGATTTCAAATAGCATCGCTTCGGGAAATCGCCAACATAAAAATGTGTATTTAGCGAAATTTTTCGGTCTCAACGATTATTTTCCAATGCATTTTCAAAAAAAAAAAAAAATGTTCGTAGGGTTACATAAAGTTATTTAATTTACATTTGCACGAAACGATACACGTAACACGTTTCTGAGCGAATTTCCGTTATACTTGATTTGAAATTCCATTTTTACGATTTCCATCAAAATGTCAACGCGTAAGTGAAGACGACTCGAAAAAACGCATGCAGGAAAAAAATAAAAACTTCTACATTACACGTAATATTTTTCAGTTTCGACCAGTACGTACGACTTACAACGAACCGCGTGTTAGATTTCAAGCGTTTCTGTTTAGTCGAATAATTGTTACATCGACACCTGCCGCCAAATAACAAAAAAAAAAAAAAAAACGAAAATGTCAAACATCTACGAATAGACGGCGAAACGCCGGGATTTTTTCAAAATTTTTCCGCGTCCGAAAAAGTTCAATACTACTGTATTCTGTGGAAATTTCCGTTCGCCAAGAATATTTTTTTCAGCGAATGAAATCGCTTTTTCGCCGTAAATCACCCGGTTTTCCTACGGTATTTCGCGGTTACGCATGATTACCGACCGGACGCGCCGTGAATTCGCTATACCGCAAACCGCCCCCCCCCCACCCCCGGGAGTCGATTTTTCGGACCGATTTCCGACCGATGAAAAAACCAAAAATAAAAACAACGGCCGCGATCCGGTCACTGTAATCAAAATGGCGGCCGCGGCGGTCATCTTTAATATCCCGCGACGGTGCGGACGCGAAGACGGCGGCAAAGTAGACGCGCACCCGAGAGATAATATTACGTGGCGGGCGGCGGCGAGATGGAACGAAAAATAGCCACCTCGACCGGTATATAGCGGCGGAGACGACGGCGAAGGGGGGCGCGCGCCGCGGTAGACACGGCCACTTGTAACCGTCGTCGTCGCGCACGCAGCCCGATCGCGGCGCCGCTACAGCGTGGTACTTACCGAACAGCCTGTTCCCGGCGACGATCGCACGGGATCCTCTTGCCGGCCGCGACGACAACACGCGCACTTGTGTTCGTTTACGAGACGTGATAACGGCCCACCGAACGCACTCGTGGCCGGTACGAAATCGCGGGGGATTATGGGGGAGCGAGACGGAAATTACCGGGACGCGCGATTGTTATTTGTTTTTCGGCGCGGTACAGAAGTCCCGGGGGCGCTGAGGAATGAAACGGCGTCCGGAGACGCGGACGCGATACGGGACGGTGGTGCGCGACACTCGCGCGATGAGAATGCGACGACCGACGACCAAGACGAGACGGAACCCGGCGGACGCCCACGATCGACTGGCGCACACCGGAGACCACGCGCACCGCGTAAGCGCCGCAGCATCAAATTCGCCCTTTCGGTCCCCCGCCACCGCCGCCACCGCCGGCCGCGCCGTAACCGCCGCCCTCTTGCCCGTCGCCGCCGCGCCAACATCGCGAGTCCGCCGCGCCGACATCGCGAGTCCGCCGCGCCGCGCGTCCGTCGCCGCACGACCCTTCCGGCCGTCCGCCGCCGCCTACACCTTGCCCCGGCACCGCCGTCGACGGGATAGGAATCTACATATACGAGGTGATTCTTGATTATTTATTTATTATTACTCAGATGTACTTGTAGTTTAGGCGTTAGAAGTTTTAGGAATGGTTAGGTAAGTTCCGTAGTTCGATTCCTAACGTGCCTTTGGAACCGACCAGTGTGGCAACGTATTCCAGAACGTGGCNACGACAACAATTGCTTCAAACATTTCAAAATACAATACAAATACTAAAAACCGATTTTGAATTTTTCAAACATTTTATAAAAGAGCAATTAACTGAATGGTTATTTATATTTTTCAAATATATAAAACAATTAAAATCGGAATATTCATTGCAAATCAAATTGTGTCATAATAATTTGATTGCCACAAAAAACAAGTTAGAATCAATTCAAAAGACATATTTCATATTAAAATCTGATTGCATTTACAATTTGAAACATTTTAAAACTGAAATTATTGAAAATTATGAGAAAATTATAATGTTAAGTTTATTTGAATATTCTAAGGAGTTTAAAAAAAAGAAAACTCATTTAACTCAACTACAGAAGGAAATTTATTTTAACAGAATAAGTGAACAACGATTAGTGAAAGAAGAAGTGAGGGAAACCATTCAAGAACTACAAGATTGTATAGAAGTACAAAAAAAAACATTTACTGACCTACAAAATGAATATTTTAATTATCAAGTGATTGAAAAGGAAAATTGGACAAATAAGTTAACACAAACTGAAAATAAGTGGTTAAAGATAATGAATAACTACAAAAAATATGATGGATACAGAGCATAGAGAAGAAGTAGACGCTTTAACTAATGAATGGTCTAAGGAACGAAAACAAAATACAAATTTAGAGACTGCTGAATGTAAAAATGAAAAGGCACTTGAAAAAATCATTCAAGATGTTGAAACTACTTCACAACGAGAAGAAGTTTTACAACGCCAAGTAACTAAACTTACTAAAGAACTTGGTGAATTAAAAAAAAATTACAGAAATGAAGTTTATAATAAACCTAGAACCAATGATATGGATGATGATAATAACAAAGGTGGATGTGAAATGGAATACTTAAGAAATGTTTTATACGAATATATGATGGGAACGCAACCTATGGTTTTGACAAAAGTGTTAGCTGCCATAGTAAAATTTGATTCCAATCAGTTGAACACTGTACTCCAAAAAGAAGAACAGAAAGTTTCTTTAACAAAAACTTTAGGCATGTGATATTAACTACCCAGAAGATATATGAAATTAAGTATACACATTATAATATTGTCATCATAAGTCACAACTATTATTGCACTTCACGTCATCACTACACTATCATCATTCCTTACATTTTTTTTTTTTTGCATAAACAATTTGTACTTTAGAACAATTATTTTATGGATACATTATTTTGATTTTATATAATGTGTTTTATGTTGTTATCAAACTATGTAATTATATGTTAATACAGTCATGATATTTGTTATAATATAGAAGCTTTTAAGCTAATAATTCAATAAAATAATTTTGTTTTAAATTTTGATTTTATAAAATGGGTAGGGACAAAAATGAATGTCCTAAAAGGGAAAACCGGAACGTAAACATGTTTATAAATTAAATTTTAATTTTAAATATTTATTTATAAACGTATTAAATTATAGTCATAGCTTAGAAGAATTTAAATAAAAAACGTTTTTCATTGAAGTTATCGTGAACACAATATTAGTTACCTACTGGTTATTGTCGGATATTTCATTGCCAAGAGTTCTACCGTAGAGCCCCCCACGATAAAATAATATCACCACCGTCGAGTATACGCAAGTTTATTTATAAGTTTATTTTTTAGTAATTATCACCTTTATTATCAGCATTTAAAAATATTAAAAAGCTAATAGTCATTATTTTATATTCTATATATCTTGCAATATAGTAACACTTATAGTAAACATATTTTTGAACATTTGAGTACCTATAAAGTTAATTGTAGGAAATAATATGTAAACTTCCATCGATGAATCAACATAGAACTGGCGAAAAAGGTTCAACAGAGAGCTCTGCAATACTGTCAAACTAGAGCCAATGATTGCCAGCTTTGTTAAAAGACATAAGATGCAATGAGTAGGTAAAAATTTGTATTTACATTTAAGTATT